TACCACTTGAGCCACAGTGCCACTTCTGGATTTTTTCTCTTTGCTTATGTGGTACTGAGGAATTGAACCCAGGGCCTCAGGCATGCAAGGCAAGCGCTCTACCACTGAGCCACCTTCCCAGCCCCCTCAAACTTATTTTTCCAAAGTGGTTGTACCATTTTACCTCCTCACCAAGAAATTCATGGAGGGTCCAATTTTATCCCTAACACTCATTCTGTCCTTCATAACTGAGATACTTTCTTGCCTTGGCTTCTGGTTTTTTCTTTTTAAATTCCAAGTTAGGGATTATAGGCATGTGCCACCACACCCAGCCCTTGTTCCTCTTTTTCCTTTATATGGGTGCCTCTTCTTCCTCCTACTCTCCTCCTCATTTTCCTTATCTTCCAATGTAGTTTTAAATGTTGAAGTGTCCCAGGGCTATGTCTTGAGACATCTTCTCTAGCTTCTCATGTCTTTAAATATTACAAGTGGGCTGGGAAGGTGGCTCAGTGGTAGAGTGCTTGCCTTGCATGCATGAGGCCCTGGGTTCGATTCCTCAGCACCACATAAGCAGAAAAAGCCAGAAGTGGCACTGTGGCTCAAGTGGTAGAGCGCTAGCCTTGAGCTGAAGAGCTGAGGGACAGCGCCCAGGCCTAGAGTTCAAGCCTCATGACCAACCCCTCCACCCCCAAAATTAAGATATGGTATATGTTACCTTCTTGTTTACAGTTGTCATGCAATTTCTAGGCACTTAAAATCTTGATTTGTTTAGGCCCCTCCTAGTATAGGAGAGGTTCTGGGTTCAACCCTCAATAACACACACACACATACACACACTGGAACAGACACTGAAGTCTGGATTTGTATGTCTGATGGAGAAGGACCTGCCTATCTGTCCCTTCCTTTACTCCCCCGCCCCCCACCCTTCCTCCTCTGTAGGGAATCCTAAGTCTAGCATTGAACTTCCTTGGTCCCTCTTCCTGTGAAGGTCCCCTCTGCCCTGAATGCTTTCATTTGCCAGTACAAGAGAAGGAGACATTCAGTTCTTTAAGTACAATTTCAATTGTGGCTCATTTTAGAAGTTGTAGGAACCCTTTTAAATTTTCATCCACCTCCTCCCATGAATAAATTTTCTTGTGGGTGGCAAATATTAAAAAAAATGTATCATTAAGAAGTCTTGATGAGGAATTGCCTATAGCCATTTCAAATATAAAACCTCAAATTTTTTTTTTCCATCTCCTCTTTCCTCTTCTGCTCTCTTCCCTCCTTTTCAAATAATCCCCAAACTCTTAGGATCTGAGCGAAGTACACATCTGCAGAGGAGTATGGGGATGGTGGTGGCAGCCTGGCAGGTGGGTGGCAAGGTGCTGGGGAGGGGGAGGGGCAGGCTGTGCTGGGTGGAGCCTCAGGGTGCTGAAGAGGTTTTCTGCAGTGGCCTGAAGACAGTGGCATCTTGGCACACGGATCTTGAGGGAAGGAAGGTGCCTGGGTTGGAGGATGAAGCAGTTTGCTAGCCTGGCGTCCAGTGAGCTGAGCCCTAAATACCCGGGGGGGGGGTATTTAGAACCCAGGAGGAGCCCTGTTCTTCACAACGCAAAGTGGATGTGGTGAAAGTGGGAGCTGGTGGCTCTTGCCTGTAATTCTAGCTCTTTGGGAGGTTGAAATCTAAGGGTCCTGGTTCCAAGCCAGCCTGGGCAGTAAAATCTATGAACCACCAGAAAACCGGAAGTAGAGCTGTTGGCCAAAGTGGTAAAGCACTAGCCTTGAGCAAAAGAGCTCAGGGACTGCACCCCAGGCCCCGAATTCAAGCCCTAGGAGCATCCCTTCCCCGCAAAAAAAAAAAAAAAAAAAAAAAATCAGAGAAATGTTCAAAAATTTTCAAACTTCTTGTTGAACAGTGCACCAAAAAACTAAACTTTGAGGATATTTATATAACAATAATTAAACTGTGATAAGAATTTAAGCCAAAAGCTAAGTAATGTATGTCTGAATTACCTCAAGAGACAGGTCTTGGGGAAATCCAGGCAAGATCATGGCATAAGTGCCATCTGAGGTGCCTGGACAGGAAGACCCGGGCACCTCCTCACGTGGACGGAGTAACACACTCGTGGTGCTATATAACAAGGCAACCACAACACCACTTTGTATTCTCACCTTTCTGAAGAGCAGACACCAGTGTGTCAGTAGGGCTGATTTTTTTTTCCCCCTCCAGGAATTTCTCCTAAGCCTGCAAATGGCCACATTCTCCCGGTACCTGCACACGGTCCTCTGGGCGGTAGTCTCCTTTGCCACACCAGCCATACTGGATTAGGGCCTTCGTAATGACTTCATTGTACTTCTGCAGAGACCATACCATACTAGGGTTCTAAAAATCCACTCGCAAATTTGAATGGGTGTGTGAGAAAGAGAAAGCTCTCAACTGAGCTTGTAAGAGTGGATTCACATATTTTATAATAAATGTAATACTGTGAGTCACAACTTCTAAGTGTTAAGAATCTGATGGAGGCTCCTTGATTTAAAAAAAGAAAAAGAGGCAAAATGCAATCCCAATTCTTAGCCTACTTCAATCCATTTCAGGAAACTATATGCCCTTTTTTTTTGGGGGGGGGTGCCAGTCCTGGGGCTTGAACTCAGGCTCTGGGCTTTGTTCAAACTTCTTTTGCTCAAGGTTAGCCCTACCACTTGAAGCACAGTTCCATTTCCTGCCTTTTTTTTGGGGGGGGGGTAGCTTATTGGAGTCTTTTAAGTCTCATTGACTTTCCTGGGCGAGCTATCAGTGAATTATGATCCTCAGATCTCAACCTCCTGAATAGCCAGGATTACCTGTAAGCCACTAGTGCCCTGCTTGTATACTATTTCTTTGCATGGTCCCTGGCCTCTTCTTTGATACTGATTGGCTTAAGGCAAGGATCCTTTTTCTTTCTGGAATTTGGACTCAGGTCCTCACACTTGCTAGGCAAGTGCTCTGTCACTTGAACCATTCCTTGAGCCCCTTCTGCTCTGGTCATTTTTGACATAACAGTCTCTTTTGCCTAGGTTATTCTAGACTGCAATCCTATTTATAATTCCCCCAGTAACTGGGGTGAGCAGTGCAATCTTAACATATGCACTTTTTTTTTTGCTGGTGAGACAGAGTCTTCTTATAAGCTTTTTGCCTGGTCAGGACCTGAGCCATGACTTTTGTTTGAACGCAGGACCTTGTGTTCTTGTTTGGCTTTTTAGCTTAAGGCTGGTACTATACCACTCCCGCCACACCTCCACTCTGAAACATTTGTCAGTCTCTCATCTGATCCATGGTTGTCTGTTGCAGAAAACTGCTCTGCATCAATACCACGATCATCTCAAGCCCCTGTAACTTGTTCACCTGCTCCGCTGCCCTCCAAACCAGTTCCTTTTCTTGGATTTTCTAGTTTTATTTTGCGAACATTTGAAGCTTCTACGTTTCAAACACGGAAGGCTTCTTTTCCCCCTTTTATCATCACTTCTCCATCTGTGTTTGTAATCCTGTCATTGTCCCTGTTTTTTCCCTCAGTGGCACTTACCACTATCCAATGTGCCATACATACACTGGTGTGTTTGGTGGTGCTGGGGGATTGAACCCAGGGCCCGAGCAGGTCTTCTACCACTGAACTTTTTCGTAAGATTTTACTACGCTGCCTAACCTGGCTTCAGATTCCAAGACGTGAGGGATCCTCCTGGCGCAGGGGCACATTCCCATTCTCGTTCCTTCTCTGCCTCTCCCTAAAACACCATCAGGACAGATTTCCCTCCGTCCCTTATTGAATCAATTAACCTGGCGTGGCACCCGTGCTGCTGGACAGGCCGCTGTGCGCCACACCGCAGGCATGCTCACAATTGGACTCTTTTTTTTTCTTTTTAAATCACGCACAGGGACGTGTTTCGGCGCAATAAAGCTTTCTTTTTTGGGGTGTGTGTGGAGGTCTGGCCGGGCTGTCCGGGCATCCGGGACTCTCCAGTCCCGCACCGCAGCGCCTCGGGGCGGCGGGGCCGGACTGGTCGGTCCTCCAACCTCCCTCCCGAGCGGGGCGGTCCCCGAGACGCCCCGTGACCTCTGACCCTCGCCTCACTTCCCGTTTCCTATCCCCCCCCCCTCCAAAAAAAAATCGCCGTCCCCTGAGGCCTGTGTTGGCTGCGAGTCCCTCCGGAGAACCTTCTGGAGCGCGCGCCCCGGCGGCGGCGG